GCAGAGCGACTCGAGGAAGGAAATTGCTGCGTTTGCGGTCGAGGCGAGACCCAGCGCTGTGCTCTGAGCTCCGGGCTGAGCCTCCCCGGGCCCGGCACACGAGCAGGCTCCCACGGCAGCTGGTGCTGGGCACCCAGGGATGAGGGGCTGTGCAGGGGGGCACCGAGGTTGTTCCAGCACAGAGAACCTCTTCCGGTGGGACAGGGACCCAAGGGCATGGAGAGAGGGGATGGAGAGCCGGGGTGCACGGGGAGGGCTGGGAGAGGCAGTGACAGAGGGTTGGACTGAGCTCCAAAATGCACCTCGGTGGCCTCGGCTTTGTGCTGAGCTGGGGCTGCTCTGGCTTGTAGAAGGGCCTGAGTGTGAGAGAGGACAGGGGAGCATAGGGAGGATCCCTCACCCTTTCCATGCCCCCTCAGCTCTCCCTCCAGCGTTCCAGCAGCTTCAAGGACTTTGCCAAGGCTAAAGTCAGCTCCCCTGTGCCAAGCGAGAAGGAGTTCAACCTGGAGGAGAACGTGAGTGCTTGATGTCCCTGGGGTGGCAGCACCCCTGGCCCACATCTGGTCCCCTGCAACACGCTTCCCACCCAGCACAACCTTTTCTAGTGCCCATTTTCCCAAACTCCTGGTCCTACTAGGAGAGCAGCCCCAGAGGTTCTAGCAGGATTTGAGGTCTCACTCTCCAGGGGGTCTTGCAGCCCTGTGTGAGTGACTGGAGGTTAGCCTGGGAAGTGGGAGCTCTGTCCTCACTCTCCATCCCTCTGCCAGATCCCTGAGGATGTGTGCAGCAGCCCTGGCCCTGAGGACGCTGCCCGGAGCAGCGGGATGAAGCTGAGCAAGAAGTGGCGGGCTGTCATCTCCCGCACCATGAACCGCAAGATGGGCAGGATGGCCGTGAAAGCCCTGGCTGAGGGGAAGGTGAGTGGGAATTCGGGCAGGCAGGGAGCAGCCCCGCTCCATACCTGACCCCTCCTCCTCCTGGCAGGGAGACATGGAGGAGGAGGAGGGGTCCCCGTGTCCCCTGTCCCCAGCCAGCAGCATAGAGGAGCCGAGCCACGAGAAGGTGCCCCTGTCTTACCTGGAGAGGGAGGAAGAGGGACACCCCCCCCTCAGCCGCCAGCTGTCCAGTGGTGAGTCCAGCCCCAGCAGGACCCCGGCCCCCCATCCCGCACACCCTGACCCCCGGAATCCCTCGGCAGGCAGCGAGGTGGCCAGCCCCCGCGCCGGGG